GCTTATTTCCATTCAGCTAAAGAAGGATATTATGATTCTATGATTCTAAACTCTGTGGTCAGACATATAGGGATGAAGAGGCACATCTCAGACAGGAACTTCTGACAACTAGAAAACAACCTGCTTCTTCCCATTTGTGATCAACTGCTATAGAAAATAACAAGCCATACGGAACTGCAACAAGTTGATTTGGAAAACTGAGTCAAAAAGAATAAGATGCTCCACTAGCCTGAATGTCACCACGTCTGAGGAAAGAGTCCAAAACCACAAGGGCTAAAGAGCCATGTTTTCTTTTCAATAAGAAGTCACAAGTTAAAAAAGTGAAGGAGACGGCCCTGAGGACGAACAAGCGTATGAACAATGGAAAGAAGAGTTTATTAAAGAAACGGACAATGGAATTACAACGGTATAAAAGGACTATTGTTATAAGAGACTTTTGGACTAAAACCCATTGCTGGGTTGAGGCCCCATTTTAAAATGTCGCAAGTGGTTACCATGGGCTTCGCTCCTAGGAGCAAAAGTACGGCTACCATTGGACAGCTTATGGTGTCATATCTGTCCCAACCAATCACAGTTTGTACCCTGTTCCTAATGTTCCCCCTAATGTTTATTCATGTGCCCTCCACCTATCCCATGTCCAAGTTTTGCATATCCCTCCTACCTTCCAGCACCTTCCCGCCAACCCTATAAAATCCCTCCATCTTGTTAATAAACCAGATCAGCCCTGGGCACTGCCCTGAGAAGATCTGCAGCCCTGTTGAAGAACCTTGCTGGTCTCGTGTCTTTTTCCTAACTCGTGACAAAAAAGCTTTTCTATCATCAGGATAATTTTTAGTAACACTTAAGTTCTGAAGATTTATTAAATAAATAAAACCCCAAACTTGTGCACAATTATAAGATGCACTTCAGTAGTATATGCAACAATAATAAAAGTCAGTGCAATATCAAATTGCAATATCAAAGGAATTATTTTTCAACACAGAAGTGCACATCTAGCAACTGTTTCTTCTGTACAAAACAGTAAATAATCAGAGCACCGGAAGAGAGCATTTTGTACCACCTTACACCAATTACTGCTAAGAAAGAGAATATATATCGCAAGTATATATGTAGCAAAGGAAAGCAAAAAGTGATGGGCTGCCTTAAAGTCTCCCATTTGTATCCAAACCAGGATTCAAAGCTATTAGCTAAAGAAGTAACTGACTAATCCCTTAAAGAAACTGATTCTCCATCCCTTCTTTCCTTCGTTTGAAGTACTGCATTATTTTTCAATTCTTCCTTTTCACATTCACAGACTACTCACACGAAAATATCTGAAAACAGTAATAACCAAGTAATGATTTCCACTATAATGATCTTTGCTACTAAGAACTTTATTTTCAACCGTCAAATAATTTTTACATCTGTACTGTAATTATTTAATTTGTCATCTTATTTCTTTCGTGTTTCAAGTATTTTTAAAGCACACTGGAGTTACGTGTTCCCCTACCCCGCTGCCACGTTTTCGGATTGGATGGGGAGTTTTTAAGCATTAAGGAAAGAATGTGAAAGAATCTATGAGAATTAATATCTGTTCAGAGTAAGATCATAATTTATAAAAAAACCAAACCAGTCTTAAAACAATACTGAGGTTATGAGGCCAACTGGCACAACCATTTAGTCAGAAGTAATGCATCTACCATTATTTGGCAGTTGATCCTTTCATCTGAGCAATAATTAACCAATTAGGCACTCTTAACCTAGCATTTTGCAGAGCAATTTTAATTGCAGTGCCTAAATAAAAAAAAAATTTCATTTTGCCCTCTTCATTTGTCTCTTTGTGAACATGCCAGTACGTGATCGTTCCCCATCACCCCACCAATAGAGCATATATACCAGTTTCAGTGCTTTCTTTATAGGCAGTACTTCATTATTCCCCCCCCCCCAACTACATGGTTTCACTCTTCATTTACAATATACTTCACAGATTCCTCTCTTAAAGGTAAAATATAATTTCTTAAAAATTTTTCTACAATGTTTTTATCACTGAGCCCTGAGGTACAGTGATTCAGAAAGCAGGAGATCTTTTTGGTGCAAATTGTCAATGTGCCTATGCTTAGCATGGAGATGTGAACTCCAGTTTGCTGCTGATGTGTTCAGAGTAACTTCTATCCTGCTAAAGACTGAAGATGTGTGCCAAGGATTCTTTGGATTGAGAACTCGCATAGATGTTGCATCCATTAAAACCAAACGTGAACAAACAATTTTGAAATCATAACCATTTGCAGCAAATTGAACACCCCCTCTTTGCAAAATACCAGTAGGCAACTACATAATTAACCTTAATCTTTAGAAAGTATCACATGTATATTCACAGAGCTCCAGCAAGATAAAGCAGTATAATTATCTCCACTCTACAGGAAAGAAACAATGGCATGAGTGCCAGAAAATAAAAATGTCAAAAGAAGAAAATGCCAATAACAATTGTATTAATCTTCATTTTTTCCAGGACATTAAACATTGTATGACATTTTACTGTGAAAAATTACAGGCCACTAATTTCAGTTAGAGGTGTGAAAAATTAGTTTTCTTTTTTACCCCAGTTTGAAAGTGCTTATCTAGAACTTGAGAAGAATAAAAAAAAAAATGGAAATAGAAGCCTGCTTGAGACAAATGCAGTAACTACAACCTCTTGCTTGATTCACAATATCCTAACTATTGCAGCTAAACATAGGATCATAGAACTTCATTTATTTCTAGGGCCTATCAACGAAGATGCTACAGTAAAGTCATAAACCTGTGATTGAAAATAGGGTTCAAGGTGCATACATGTCTTCATACGTGTGCATGTACATACTTGGTCAAAGCACAAGTAGGTAGAATCAGGCTATGTTCTCCCAATATTTTTTGAAAACAGAAATAACAAATGGGTATCTTTATACAGTTATTGTTTCTAATATCTTCCTTTTATTCTTTCAATTTCTTTTAAGCACAAGAAATGGCAACTGAAAAGTCTGGATTTTCCTGAATTCAGCTAGTGTCATGGGTTGACCCTGGCTGGATGTCAGGTGCCTACTAAAGCTGCTCTCTCAGCTGGGCAGGGGAGAGAAAATATAACAGAGGGCTCATGGGGTGGGACAAGGATGGGGAGAGATCACTCACCAGTTACTGTCACAGGCAAAAGACTTGACTTGGGGTAATGAAAAATAAAACCAAATCTTAAAACACCTTTCCCCCCACACCCCTCCCTTCTTTCTGGGTTTGACTTCACTCCTGATTTTCTTCACCTGTTCCCACTCAGTGATGCAGGCAGACAGGAAATGGGAGTTCCGGTCAGTTCACCACACGTTGTCTCTGCCACTCCTTCCTCCTCGGGGGAAGGACTGCTCACAGTCTTCCCCTGTTCCAGTGTGTGATCCTTCTCATGGGAGACAGTCCTCCACAAAATTCTCCAACCTGAGTCCTTCCCAGAGGCTGCAGTTTTTCACGAACTGCTCCAACGTGGGTCTCTTCCATGAGGCACAGTCCTTCAGGAACAGATTGCTCCAGCATGGGTCCCCCACAGGGACACACGTCCTGCCAGCAAACCTGCTCCAGCATGGGCTCCTTTCTCCCTGGGGCTACATGTACTGCCAGGAGCCTGCTCCAGCATAGGCTTCCTATGGAATCACAACCTCCTTAGGGCATCTACCTACTCTGGCCTGGGGTCCTCCATGGGATACGGGTGGATCTCTGCTCCACCATAAACCTCCTTGGGCTGCAGGGGCACGGCTGCTTCACCATGGTCTGCACCACAGGCTGCAGGGGAATCTCTGCTCTGGCACCAGGAGCACCTCCTTCCCCTCCTTCTTCACTCACTGTGGGATCTGTAGAGCTGTGCCCCTCACATAGTCTCAGCTCCTCTCTCTGGATGAAGCTGCTATTGCACAAAATTTTTCTTCCTCCATCTTGAATATGTTCAGAATGTCCCAGAGTTGCTACGCCCATCACTGGTGGGCTCAGCCTTGGCCAGTGATCCTGGAGCCAGCTGGCACTGGCTCCGCTGGACACAAAGAAAGTTTCTAGCAACTTCTCACGGAAGCCACATCCCTGTAGCCTCATCCACTACCAAAACCTGGCCATGCAAACTCAATACAGCTAGGAAGTAATTGGTATTTCACTAAAAATTTTACTACCTCTCTTCAGAGCTGTTCTTGAAACTTTTGTACAGAAATGCATTTTTGATTTCTTTTTTAACAAATTAAGTATCTCCTCTTAAATCACACCACATATAAGGACCTAGAAAAACAGAGAAAGCCTGCTTCATTCTACCTAAGCTGTTCAAGTCAAGGAGCAGGTCACAATCCTTCAAAAATTAGCATGTATTTTTTATGCTCTCAAAGAGACAGCATATATTACACATAGCATATGTTACACCTTCCTCACTCACGATACTCTCAAAAATATTAGCAAGGGTTAGGCCAATGAATAATATATCAATAATGCCTCCCATTGCACCAGACAGCATTTTTCACCATTTCCTTGAACATATTGTTCTGTCTCCGTTCATCTCCAGTTTCTTTTTTTATTCTTAGACTGTAAATTTGCTAAGGTAAGCCTACCTCACACACAGATGTCCAATTAATGTATTTTTTAATCAAACAACAAAAAAGCTAAGCTTATCTTTCAGATGTTTGTGGTCACTTACCTGCTTGGTGAATTAATTTAGTCACATAGTACCTGCATTTCATAAAGGACATTGGCTTCCTAGTAATCTAATGGTAAAGTAAGATATTGCTAAACCTCATCAATAAAAAGCCTCTTTGCAGCTTGCCTTTTCTACCCATAGATCAGGTAAATGCCCAACAAAGTTACTAAAATCATAAGCAAAGATAGGAAAAAACTCACCTTAAAAATACATTACTGTGCCTTTTGCCCAATTACTTACTTTAACAAGCACCTATTCCAATCTGTAGCACAACGTACACATCAACTACATGCTCACATTCACACGTTTAGATATTTTTCATTTGTCGAGTTACCTTATCTGCATCCACTTTTCCTCTGATAAACTCTTTCTTCCAGAACTCCAGTGCCTGTTCCAGAGTCAAGCCGATGCCCTTCAGGAACAGCCCGTACTGCATCCGGCCCCCGTGACGGAGGTGATGGTTGTCGCGCAGCGCTCTGTGCAGCTGCCGCATGCACAGAGGGAATGACTTCACCGAAAGCTGGCAAGAGAAAAATTCTTGTTTAAGGCATACTGATCATTTAATTTGTAGGATACATGCTTCTTGTGATTATTAACTAGCTCCACTTGGAAATGCCAATGGCTGGAAGAAAAGCTGTGCGTGTACAGAGAGCCTTGGGACTGACCATAACACGAGTGTGTTCATAAGCCATCAAATCCAAGAACCATCTCAAGGACAAAAGCCAAAGGACAGAGGCATACAGACTATCTTCAGCTACAAAGTAACAAAGGTTTAACTGCTGTTAGGAAAAATATACCCACAATTCCATTACAATATTTCCTGTCTCTTCCTTATTTTAGCTGCTGGAAAGGCAAAGTGACATATGATAAGAGTTTCTGGGGACTAGGGAAGGAGACTTTTTTTAAAAAAAATCTTTGAAAAACAACAAGTGAGAGTAAAATTCTTTGCAACTAATCTGCAGGTTGTACTCCCTGAAAAATACTATTTGTCATAAAGTAAGATCTCAGAGAATGGAAAACATGTAACATTCAAGTTTACTTAGGCCTTGCATTTTTATTTTTTAACTCTGAATCATGCCATGGAACTCACTACCGAAGGAAGTCTATAATGGTTAAGATGGACACTGAAAACACACACAGTTCCTAAAATTCAGATAAAATAGTTATAATGTGATTTTAATTGACTCTATAACATTCATGTGTGATGTTTTACAACCCATTTTATTTACTTCCTTGTTTTCAAAACCCCTTCTGTAACTCAAAAAAAGAGCAGTGAAAATACTAATACTGCACTGCAATAATCATAAACTAAACATCATGGGTTGCAAGATTATTAAATAAGAAAATTTTGTTAAACTCTGCTTATAATTATGTTAGGTATTTGTGAAAGTACACAGAATTAAGCAGAAAATTAGGCAATTCATTATAGCTCCAGCTTAAACCCTGATTAGAGGCATTTTTAGTTAATTCTGCTTCATATTGAACTTTAACACAATTTCATTCAACAGTTACAAATAAAATATGAAGGAAAAAAAGAGAAACACTTTTTATGTTGTTTGGACATGGAGTATTTGAATTTAAAAAGTTATGTTTCAACATACTGTGTAACTCCAGAAACATGAAGGACTTACAGCATCAATCTGCTCTAGAGAAATTTTTCCAGTGTTCTTTTGGACGCTGTAATCTGGGCCAACATAAGAATGGCTGAAAAACAAAGCAAACAGTAAAGCATCATTTAAAGCTGCTCAAAAATATATTTTTTAGGTTTACAAATTTAGAAAGAAATTATTTTATCAATTATGGGCTGAAATTATTTTACATCAGCAAAACCAAAAACCAGGTAATTGAAACTTATAAAACCAACATTTGAGCCAATAAAGAAACCCTCCCTACCCCCTTTGTCTGGAAAGAGTGGTGAGGGGTCATACAGAATTTAGATCACAGGATCATGCTACTGTTGAGGGTTAAAGAGGACACTGAAGATGATCCAGTCCAATTCCCTGCTCAAACATGTGTTTGCTACAGCAGGTTGCTTAGCATCTCATCAAGCTGGGTTTTGAGCATCTCCAAGGACAGAGACTCAAACTTCTGAGCAACCTGTTCCAATGTTTGACCACCCTGGCAGTAAAAACTCATCTTCTTATGTTTTAACTGGAACTTGCTGTATATCCGTTTATACCCATTCCTTCCTGGCCTATCACTGGATACCACTAAGACACTCACTCTGTATTCTTCATTCCCCCTCTGACACAGACACCTGTTTATATGCATTGCTAAGGTTCACACCCACACTGTCCTGAAACGTCCCTCCTCCAGGCTGAACAGTCTCAGCTCTCTCAGCCTCTTCTCATATGTACTGGGAACACCAGGACTGGACACAGCCCTGCACATACAGTCTCACCAGTGCTGAGCAGGGGGAAAGAATCACCTGTCTCGAGCTGCTGGGAGTGCTCTTCCTAACGCCACGCAACCAGCTGTAACCCTACACTACAGCAGAGACAGTCACACAATAGACACCGTCACCAAAGTATCTTCAAATCAAATTCAGTATCTAATACTCGGCTTTTACTTTTAAATATATAGACTTCTTGAATGAGGATATATGCAGGGCTGCAGAACAGGACCAGAGAAATGCTTACAGCAGAACCCAACCAAAGTCAAGAGTTGACAGCACAGCAGGCAATAGAGTAAATAGGGACTTTGAATAGAACACACTAGTCCAGAAAGCAGGTTGTAAAACCTGGGTAAGAACAAATATCTTTGTGCAAGAGGGATTTTTTAACTAACTTACATCCTGCTTTAACTAACTAACCTCCTAATTTAAGGATCATTTCTTAAATCTTTTGACAGTGTGCAGAGTTTACCTCCAGAAAAAAACACATTTTTCTAAATGACAATACTAGGTGCTGTGAATTATTTTGTGGCATTTCAATTCTGTAAAGTATGAAAAGCATACTAGATTACAAATAGTTTGTTTAATTATAGTGCATTCATTTATTCTTTAATCTTATTTCTGGCACACACTGAAGCACTAGGAAAGCCTGCTGTACTTAATAGATTTTTTTCATTACACAACATAATATAAAATGAGATAAATAATTTAAAGCATTTGAGCTATGTATGTCTATTACTACTGATTTTACTATGGAATTATCTAAATTACCTTGCAGAAACAGATCTGCATCTCTCTACTTAGGCAAACTACAAACAAAACAGAAATCACAGTGCCAAAAAATTACAACTGGAGCACAGAACAACAGATAACAGCTGTTTCTTAGGCAACTTTGTTTTTTTTTTTTTTTTTAAACACTCACTTAAGAACACCAGTAAATGATCACATCCCTGGATGAGTGCTGGTAACTTCTTAAACTGTTCCACCATAATCATTTTAGATCACCTGCTCATATCCTAAAGTATTTATTAGAATCATATTCATACTGAAAAAAATTGCTAAGCTAAAGAAAAGTTTTTCCTAGCTGCTGTAGAAAGGGTTGGCCTGGGAAGAGAAGGTCCAAAGAAAAGACACAAGTTTTCCTACAAGTGAACAAAGTACGACTTCATAAGTTACTGTTAAAAGAGAACATGCTCTCTGAATCTTACTGACCATTACATCTGGACTTAGTAGAAAATTCTATTGCAAGGAGAGAAAACTCAGCACTAAGAGGGGCTGAGGGGGAAAAGAAGAAATTTTATTTTTCAGTCTCTGAAAAGGTCAAATATTTTCATCATGGTACATGGACAGGAAAAGTTATTAATTTTTTACATTAAAAAGTAGAATATGACCTTTGCAAGGTCAAATTTTCTTGATACCTGACACTACTCACCAAAGAGCTGAGACCTACAAATTGCCTTCAATGGTGGTGCTCTGAAAAAGAGTATGAGCTTTATCCAGAATACATGGTAGATTGGGGTTAGCCACAAAGGCCAGCACTACCCATATGGCCTTTGGCAGCAAAGCTCTTGGATTCCTGTCCCAAGGAGCTCAAGGGGACTAAAGCTTTCAGGTTTGCAGTTTCAGGTGCCAGGTCTTCTGATTTTCTACAGTAGGGATTCTCCAAGTCCCTTGGTTTCATCATAAAAAAATGACACTGCTTTCTCCACAGATTGCCATTTTTTTCTCTACATTTCTAATACAAAAATCTCAAGAATCTTGCAAAAATAAAAATCTCAGACTATTCTTTGTTCTATGAACAATGGTCCTCATTTTTTTCACATCATTAAATGTAGGCAAACAGTTTCCTACTACCGGTCTGAAAACATATTACAACACCAACTAATCAGGTTTGCGATCATTCTCACTTTCTTATATTTTTGCTTTCAGTTTTAGCTCCTATTTTGGACTCATTCTTTCTTTTATTTGACATAGCTCTTGAACTTACTTCCTGACCTTCTTACTCACCTAGAAATATTTATTTTCATGGTTTACTGGAAGGCAAGTAGCAATGTCTTCACTTTTCACTTTAAAAAGTTTTATTTTATCTCCATATATAAATTCCTTTCTTCTCCATTCAGCCTGACTCAATCACTCCAAATCTGCTTTTCTAAAATCCAATATTTTAGTTACCAGGAGTTTTCTAAAACATCTTGAAACTAAAGATCAATACATACACTTGCACAGCTGTTGACCAAGAATAAACTTCCACTACATCAGTGCTTCCAAGAACAGGATCTATGTCTTTCAAATAAACAGCTGTAGGACGGTTTTGATAAATATTGTATTATTCACAGATGTGTCAGTGTATTGTAAGATTTAGTGAGGGTATGAAGGGCACTTTATAGGTGTTGAGGATAATAAATTACAACAGTTCATCAAGGTGTGCGTTCTTCTGTACTTGCTTGTGAGATGAGCATAGGTGAGGAGGGTGAATATGTCTACATGAGTATTGCATTATCCATTAAAAAAATCCAGTCTTCCAAAACACTTGGTTTCTGTATCAACCGTATGAGCTATCACTTGAAGACAGAATTAATAGAATCATATAAGTGTTGGTTGTAAAGGACTTCAGAAGACCATTTAGTTCCACATCTCGCTTTAAATAGGATTACTGCCAACACTAGTCAGGTGAGCTGTGGCTTTTTCCAGCTGAATCCTAAAAATCTCCATGAACCAACATTCCACATCACTGACCAATCTGCTGCACTATCACTCTGGTATAGACATTTTTCCCAGTGTTTGATCTAAACCTCCCAAACTGCTGTGTGTGACCACTGTCATTTGTTATATCCACTGGCACCATCGAGAATTCCAATACAATGACATTTGTCCTTCAAGCAGTTGTAAGCTGCTATTTGATCATCCCTAGGTCTCTCTTTAACCAGACTAAAGAAAGTCAACTCAGCTTCTCCCTGTAATTCATAAATAGGCCCAGTCCTATGGTACTTTGATGGGATTACATACAACAGCTTTTGTCTATTCGAAATTATTCCCACTGAAGATTTTAAACAGTAGAGTGTTACACCCCTGTAATGTCATCACACACCCCATAAAAAGCAGGAGTTGCAGAAGTGTTCTTCTCATGCATTTAGACAAAGATTTCCATCTCTATTAAATTGCTTCAGTTTTAGCAATTTAAATCTCTTTGTAGCCGACTGTGAGCATGGGAAATCCCTAAACACAACCTTGCAGCAAATATTTAAACATTTTAACTAAAAAATTCTCTTTTTTTTTTTTTTTTAAATCTAATACAAGTTGTATTAGAAAGCACCAATGAAACAGAATTGGACAAGAGGATCTAATCGCAGACAAAATACATTTTTAGTCCAGAACTATCCAACTGCAAAACATATGCATGGTATACAATATCTATGAGGACATAATACACAGGAAGATCACCTTTTCTGGTGACCAGCTAATTTATAAATCACAAGTAGACACGAAAAGGTGCCAAAAAACGTGTTGGGCTTTAACAACTAAACAATACTCTGTAACCTTCAACTGTATGCTCTTTTCATACATTTCTATCTAAGCTTTTGCTCCCCTGATAGAGTTCTATTGACATATGCCAAAAATAAAATACTGCTGTCAGAATTCACACAATGAAGGCAGAGGAAAGTCTACAACTAACTAATATTCTCTTTTCCTATGAGTAAGATGAAGCACATTGAATCAAAGATTCACAGAAATAAATAACAAAGATGACCTATTTGGCCACCTGTCTGTTTACTACCAGAGCCTGCTTTTCAAGTTGCAAGGTTTGATGTATTTTCCTCATTTTAAAGGAACTTGCAAAAGGCAACTTGGAAACATTTGTATAATTTTTTCCAGTAGGTGACAAAAAATACTGGAATCAGTCCCTCCATTTTCACAAAAGCAAAATGGACGTAATTTACCAGTTGTGTAGCATACCTACCAAGGTAACCTAAGAATGTACAAAAAGTAGCATAAATGTGGGATACAGTACCTCTGTTAAAGTAGTTTGTGTTTTTTTTTGCTACCTTTTCCCATATTTAAAAAAAAGAAGCACAGATAGGACTGATCGTTGAAAAGACAGTTCCACTTACATAGATGCATAGCATATATCAAACAAAATTTCCAATTTCTCAGTAATTAATCCTAGAGAGTACAGTTTATAAAAAGCTAACTTAATTGCTCTTTATCTTCAAGTGAAGAAAGGTATGCCACTGAGGCGTATTTTTTTAAATCCCAGTGAGATGTATAGTAATAAAAACACTGAAGGTTATAGGCATTCAGCAGTACCCCTAACCAGCTATGGAACAGTTACACTGCAATACTTGTTCTCAATCATTGCTCTTGAACAAAGTTGAATCATATGTAAATAAGTAGAGATACAACAAAAGCTATTTTTCCTATTCTGACTTCCACTAAAAACAACGAAATATAAACCTCTCCCTATAAATTAAAAATTATGAGACTTTTTTAAAAATCAAAATAAAATGTCAGGTTTTGGGTACAGATACCTCAAGCAGCAGAGCACCACAGGAAATAAGGAGCATGCTAACCAGATCTGCATCCTAATTCCTGTGCAGTGCTGCCCTGATGGAGCTTCAACAATTACATTTCTAATTGATCCAACATAATTTCAGTAATCTTAGTGCAAAGCTGTACATGTTCAAAAACAGACATTTCATTACAGACATCCAATATTTAAGTAAATTTCTATCCTTAGAGATATTAAAAATTCAACAGAAATAAATACTTGAGCAACCTGATCTAACCATTAAATCGCCTCCAGAGGTTCACTCCAAGCTAAATTATCCTATGATTCTAAGCCATCTCCCTCTAACTGTATGGGCCTTGTCCTCCTGCATACTACCATAGTAAGAAAGCTCTCCCATATAAAGTGGTAAAAAGTAATCACATGTATGAAAAAGACAAGATGCTTAACCTGAAGAACATCAAGAAAGTGTTTTTTCTTACTCTTCTTCCCTTTCCTACCAATAAAGTAGAAAGTATATATATCTATATCTATGTACCACTAAAGAGTGAGGCAGGCTATTTAGTTTTGTTGGAGAGTACTCTAACGGTTCACTTTCAGCAACATCCTTAGGTCCACTGAAAGAACAAATTAGGACTCCATTCATCAATATGACAGTGAAATCTTCCAAAAACAGCACAGAGCATAGAAAACTTGCAACAAGGAAGGCCCATGCTCTGAGCAGTGTAACTTGGAATCTGTTTTGTTCATAAAGAACCTTAACAACTTTGCACTATATTTCATGTCATTCACATAAGAGTTAGACTAAATGATCCTTGTGGGGTCCTTCCAATTCAGAATATTCTGTAATCTGTGATCCTGTGATTTATAAAGCTTTTCTTAAATTGAAGGGTTCCATTTGGTTTTTTCCAGTCAAAGCAATTCACGCAGATGAAATGTCTGAAAAAAACCCCTGTACCTAAAGCATTCTACTAATACAATTACTTTAATCTGTATGAAGGAATATACTCATGCTTTCAGTTTATGCTACCTGAGATGATTAAGCAGAGGTTGTAGTCTCTCATCAGACTGTATGGAAGGTAGCGATCGTGCTGTCAGCTGGAAGAAAACAGAAGTTCAATTAATAAAATATTAGCTTAAGAAAACTGATAGCAAAAACCAGAAATTATGTAACAAGTCACTCTGCGTTGTTACAGCTTTACACAACATTGGGTAAGACAATTTCTCCTATTAAGAATAACTAAGCACAGCCTTCCAGAATCTGAAGTCAGCAGAAATATTTACAAGTTAAGAAACAGTGAAAAAACATTTTTCTAAAACTACAATGCTATTTGAAATAAATAGGAAGACATAACTGAAAGTGGCATACTTTTTCCCAAACATATTTGAACTAGAAGCATATTCTGCCTAGACAGCCTTCAACAAATCACATGTAAATATATTCCATGAAGCCATATTATATACAATTTACATTTGTATAAAAGGATTAAAAAAAACCCTTGGGTTTTTACCACTGAATTTTAAAGTCCAATATACTTATTGTTCTATATTCATGTCCCTGGTAAAGTAAACCTCTAATTTTGCTTTAAACACCATCAGAAAAACAGAAATTATGTTTGAAAATAACTTGGACGCCTTCTAAACACCAGTCAAGTAATTCCACTTGGCTAAAATCAGAGCAGAGACTGAATTACATGAAATACCATCTGCTTCTTTTCCACTAATAACTTAAATGACACAAAAAACAATATTTGTGTGCACACTCACACACGTATTTATCCTTTTACATGAGACAAGTAGATGGTATTTTTCTCTACACAGTACTTGAAATATCACATTTAATGAGAAAAAAAAAGTCCTTGCTATAAACAATACATTTATGACAAGATGTTTATGGAAGTCCAACTGGACAGTGATGAAAGTAGCAAAGAAAAGTAACATTCAAAACCTGAAGAAACATTGACATTAAAGTTTATATACACACAGTAAAACTACATTGCTACATAAATACTATCAATTAACCGAAACACTGGTTTAAAACTGATTTTGGAGACTTGTAGGAATTGAGAGGCTTGCAGGAATTGAGAACCAAGAACAGTGATCCTGTAGTTTTTTATTGTGAAAATAGGATCTAACATCTTTCAAGTCTTAGAACAAACACTTTGCAAGGTTAGAGCAAATGTTTATTTTCATTAAGATATGGGATCCTCATGATACTGTTCTAAACTAAGATAAAGTTATCCTAAAACTAAGGATAGCTTTCTTTAAACACAGCTGAGGAAACCTCATCAAAATATTTGAACAATTTTAACTGAAAGAGAACATTTTGCTTTAACTTAACTTGGATTATAAACATAAAACTTAACATTTTCATATATAAAGTCATTCCTCACAATTATATTTTTTCTAATTGACCCACAGTGTAAAGAAAATCAGCTTTTACAAAGGTAATGTTAGATTATTGCTCATGTTTTCAAGCAGATAAGAATTTCATGTTTTCAACAGGATTTCTTTAAAAGATGATCCCTATTACAGAGTCCAAACTAGGATTCTGAAGACTTTTTCCAACAACTCTAAAATGAAATTTAGACAAATTCCTGCAAGCACAGTCTTGTTTTCATCTCTATATGGTACTTAACATAAAGATCATTTTACCGGGGGAGGAGAAAAAAAAAGGAAAACATGACATTTGATATTTTAGAGACATGAAAACATCAAAATGTTGCCAAGTAAAGAATATAGCTCCAAATTCTAATCATGTTGAAGCAGTTTAATTTAGAGAGAACATTAAACACTGCCAACTTCAGATATTTCCAGTCCCAGGGCCTGGATCATCAGAGCGGGAAGCAGAGTGAGTCACAGACAAGAACATGTGGACACCTCAGAGCTGAGCTGAGATGGTGAAAGCTGGGGTGAGTGATGCAGATCAAGGCAAGGTCAGTACCATATCATGCAGCAGTTAAAATTAAGAAAGGAGAAAGAATACTTAACAACATAAGAAAAAGGAAGTATCTTAAGTCTAAATTTAGAAAGGTCTACCATCACCTTAGAACATCATGTTCAGCAATAAGACTAAGGGGCAGCTTTTCCAAAATAGCCACTGCTCAAGACCTGGCTGGGCATCAGTCTGCTGATGGTGAGCATCACTTGTGGGTTTTTTCTTCTTTCTTTTATCACTTAATACACTGTTTTTACCTCAGTCGGTGAGTTTTCTTATTTTTGCCCTTCCTGAACTTCTTCTCCGGGAAAGGTTGGAAGGCAGGGAGAAGATTTCCTGCCAGCCAGAGTCAATCCACCACTTACATATATATACTCATTTTATATCAGTAAGAGGTTGATAAATTTCAGCTAAAGTACAGATTTCACAATATTTTGAAAGCTTTGTTGTCTACCTTAGAGGAGTCAAAAAACTGCTATGGGTTAGTACAAAAAGGATATTTTAAAATCCTCAACAACAACAACACACAAAACCAACAAAAAATCACCAAAAAACTCAAAACAACAACAAAACCCAAACAAACACCCAACTAAACTCAAACCCTCACAATTATATAGCAGGCTTAAATGTACCAATAACTTACATCTCTACTGGGTTTTCCCTGAGAAATCTGTGAAACAAAATAAATAAAGTGGAAACTTTGATGCTAACATGGACTTGACAACTTTGTTTCTGTAAGCAATAGCTTAATCAATGTCAACAAGTGTGTAGAATATGAATTAAAAAAATAAACAAAGACATGGTTCTAAAGATGTAGACTTCACAGAAGCCTTCTCAATGTGACATTGGGCCACTGCATTTCTGTAAGGTCACACTGAAATTAGCTCATTTTAAGTAGATTTAATAAGATGCTAACACAGCATCTTGCTGAAATGTCTAATATAATGGTAATATTTGAGGGGGGAAAAAAAAAGTCAGAAACAAACTTAGCTTAGAGTTGAGCTAAAGCAGGATCTGACATGGTGATCAGTAAGACAGAGGAAGGGAAAATTCTCCCTTCTTCAAACCTGCTGCTAAAGGTCCTGATAGGAACTATTCATCTCCATTAAAGACTAAATAATAAGCCTATTTTCAGGAATTTAAAGTCTATTTATCTAACAAACAAGCTCTGGCAGAAAACAGAGATGCTATTGACTGCATCGTTCCTCAAACCATTCAATTCTTAGATAATGATTAAAAAACATTATGCTGTACATTTATTAGAAACAGTCTTCCTTCTTACACCTCTGACTGTGGTCTATTTGATTTCATTAAGTGCATCACCCAGGTGAGTATGAGCCTGTACAGCAGTGAAATGCAAGAGGGAAATAAGGTAAAAGATAAATGAACCCAAATATATGAGTAAAATATAACATGATATTAGTATATCCAAAGAAACTGTATACAATTAGAAATTATCTTCTGTGGAATTAAACAAAATCAGGTTTATTCTGCTAACCCAACACTACTATATCTATTCATGTCTTTCTACCAAAGTTTTTGAAAAATAGACTCCATTTAGAGATAGCTATTTAACACTACTAGGCACTACATTTTTTCCAACTAACTCACTAATACTAGACAAACTTTATTCAGAGATCTGTTTGGCCAGCACTGGAAGATGTTTTCCAGATGCAATCAATCTAGCAGATTGATACTCTAGCAATCTAGAGTATCAGCTTTCATGTAACCAAAGCCTGACATATATGCTTTTTTTTATTGACACCACCAGAGCCATGGCATATCCGAGAGTCAGAATTATAGATCCCAGCATTCCCCCTTGACCAGGAATAGCTGAAAAAAAAAGGAAGACAGTAAGATGTTTTCTGTTAAAGTTTTTACCTTAATTAAGAATTTTTCTCCTTATCCCTAGTTTATCTATCCTTCTGAAGTCTCTGTTTGATCAAAAGGAAAACAATTTCCAGGAGATGCTAACAAAAGCCTTCGGGAAGCTTTCCTCCCCTCATCCCCATTTTAAGATAGAGGACAGGTTAAAAATAATGCTGTAGAAACATCTGAGTTCTACTTACCTGAGGACTGTCATAATATCCACTATATTATTACAGACACACTACGCACATCAGAGTACTCATTACATATTTATAATATTTAGGATCAACACAAAATCATAGAATGGCGTGGACTGGAAGTGACCTTAAAGATCATCTAGTTCCAGCCCCCTTGTCATGGGCAAGGACACCTTCTACTAGACCAGGTTGCTCAGAACTCCATCCGACCTGCCCTTGAACATGAACTGTGCACTTACCCAGCATGATTACAGTAAATAACAGGCCTTTAGGTCTCAGTTCCACTTATACAGAGTCCAACTACAAGTGCTTCTCAATACACATAATCAAGGCCCTGCTTTTATATAAAAAGGGAAACTCTACTGTGCACTGACATTTTATTTCAAACAAATCGCTCAGGTAAAATTTCCCACTGTCAATTTGACTGCCTTCAGTGACAAAAACTAGTTTTGATGTACATTTCATTCCAGAATACAGCCTAAATGGAGGGAGAAATAGTACAAAAGGCTTCTTAATGCATTTCTCTCCTATTAGAAGCATTGTTGATGAATAGAAACTCCAAAACTTTACAACAATTTCATTTTCAACCAAACCTGAATTTTAGCTTGTTATTCTTTCAAAAGTAGTTTTAGAGGATACGAATTCTCCAGTAAGGTATTTTAGTGCACCAGGCACCAAAATAAATTAAATTTCAAATATAATGTCTAGAAAGGTTTTATACTTCTGAGAAAGCCTTAGTATTACTTTGGTTTACCTTTTTTTTTTTTTTTTTTTAAAGATATTGCAGAATGATAACATTACATAGTCATACGATTTTGCAGCCACCACTAAAAAGTCATGAGATGCAGATACTGCCATAACCCACGAACCCAAGTTAATTAAATTCCAGAGAAACACCTTTAACATCCAACTAAGTTGCAGGCTGTCTCATACCACCACAAACTGATTGATTTTGAAACATCAGCTGCCCTGCTAATGTTGTAACAAAATGTCACAATGCAAATGCTATGCAGCTGGGGAACCTGAAATAAGAGAGCAGTGTTTGCATGCCAGTATGCTGCTGTACCTAGACAGTTGACATTTTAGCACTGATC